ATAAACTTTTGGTTAATTTAATTTAAAAAAAAAAGAAAAAGAAAGAAAACCAAATTACCAGTATAAAAAAATGAAAAGGGTGAATTCACCACCAAGAAAGAGAAAATTAAAACAATAATTAGGAACTATTTTGCCCAACTGTATGCCAATAAATTTGACAATCAGTGAAATGAATGAATATTTACAAAAATATAAATTGCCCAGATTAGCAGAAAAGAGAGTAAAATACTTAACCCCATCTCAGAAAAAGAAATTGAACAAGCCATCAATGAACTCCCTAGGAAAAAAATCTCCAGGGCCAGATGGATTTACAAGCGAATTTTATCAAACATTTAAAGAACAATTAATTCCAGTACTATATAGAGTATTTGGAAAAGTAGGCAAAGAAGGAGTTTTACCAAATTCTTTTTAGGATACAAATATAGTACTAATACCTAAACTGGGAAGAGTCAAAACAGAGAAAGAAAATTATAGACCAATTTCCCTAATGAATATAGATGCAAAAAATTTAAATAAAATATTAGCAAATAGATTACAACTACAACCAGATAGGATTTATACCAAGAATGCAGGGCTGGTTCAATATTAGGAAAACTATCAGCATAATTGATCATATCAACAACAAAACTAACAGAAACCACATGATCATCTCAATAGATGCAGAAAAAGCTTTTGACAAAAGACAAGACCCATTTCTATTAAAAACATTAAAGAACATAGGAACAAATGGAGTCTTCCTTAAAATGATAAGTAGCATCTACCTAAAACCTTCAGCAAGCATCATATGTAATAGGGATAAGCTAGAAGCAGTTCCAATAAGATTGAGGGTGAAAAAAGGATGTCCATTATCACCACTATTATTCAATATGGTACTGGAAATGTTAGCTTTAGCAATAAGAGAAGAAAAAGAAATTGAAGGTACTAGAATAGGCAAAGAAGAAACAAAGCTATCACTCTTTGCAGATGATATACTTAGAGAATCCTAGAGAATCAAGTGCAAAACTACTTGAAATAATAAACAACTTTAGCAAAGTTGGAGGTTATAAAATAAACCCACATAAATCATCGGCATTTCAATATATTACCAACAAAACCCAACACCAAGAGATAGAAAGAGAAATTCAATTTAAAGTTACTGTAGATATTATAAAATATTTAGGAATCTACCTGCTGAAACAAACCCAGGAACTATATGAACACAATTACAAAACATTTTTCACACAAATAAAGTCAGATCTAAATAACTGGAAAAACATCAGTTGCTCACAGGTAGGCCAAGCTAATATAATAAAAATGACAATTCTACCTAAATTAATTTACTTCTTCAGTGCCATACCAATCAAACTACCAAAAATTATTTTATAGAGCTAGAAAAAATAAAAACAAGATTCATTTGGAATAACAAAAGGTCCAGAATATCAAGAGAACTAATGAAAAGAAATGCAGGGGAAGGTGGCCTAGCCATTCCATTCCAATTATATTAAATTGTACTAAAAAGCAGCAATCATCAAAACTAGTTGGTACTGGCTAAGAAACAGATTAGTGGATCAGTGGAATAGGTTAGGTATGCAAGACACAGTAGTCAATGACTTTAGTAATATACTGTTTGATAAACCCAAAGACCCCAGCTTCTGGGATAAGAACTCACTCTTTGACAAAAACTGCTGGGAAAACTAGAAAAGAGTATGGCAGAAACTAAGCATAGACCAAAATCTCACACCATACACCAAAATAAAGTTAAAATAGGTTCATGATTTAAATATAAAGGCTGATACTATAAGCAAACTGGGACAGCAAGGAATAGTTTACCTGTCAGATTTATGGAGAACAGAAGAATTCATGACCAAACAGGAGATAGAGAACATTATGAAATGCAAAATGGATAGTTTTGATTACATTAAATTAAAAAGTTTTTGCAAAAACAAAGCCAATGCAACCAAGATTGGAAGAGAAGCAGAAAACTGGGAAAGAATTTTTACAACTAGTGTCTCTGATAAGGACCTCATTTGTAAAATATATAGAGAACTAAGTCAAATTTATAAGAATACAAGTCATTCCCCAATTGATAAATGGTCAAAGGATATGAACAGGCAGTTCTCAGATGAAGAAATTAAAGCCATCTATAGTCATATGAAAAAATGCTCTAAATCACTATTGATTAGAAAAATGCAAATCAAAACAACTCTGAGGTACCATATCACACCTGTCAGATTGGCCAATGTGACAAAATAGGTAAATGATAAATGTTGGAGAAGATGTGGGATAATTGGAACACTAATACATTGTTGGTGGAGTTGTAAAATGATCCAACCATTTTGGAGAGCAATTTGGAACTATTTGGATCTAGGGCTATAAAAATGTGCATATCCTTTGACCCAGCAATAGCACTTCTAGGGCTGTTTCCCAAAGAGATCATACAAATGGGAAAAGGACTCCCATGTACAAAAATATTTATAGCAGCCCTTTTTGTGGTGGCAAAGAATTGGAAATTGAGAAGATGTCTATCAATTGGGGAATGGCTGAACAAGCTGTGGTATATGAATGTGATGGAATACTATCATTCTATAAGAAATGATGAGCAGGCAGACTTCAGAAAAACCTGGAAAGACTTGTATGGACTGATGCTAAGTGAAGTGAGCAGAACCAGGGGAACATTGTACACAGTAACAGCCATGTTGTGTGATGACTCACTTTGATAAACTTAACCCTTCTCACCAATGCAAGCATCTAAGACATCTCCAAAAATCTCATGCTGGAAAATGCTATCCACATCCAGAGAAAGAACTATGGAGTTTGAATGCAGATCAAAGCATACTATTTGCTCTTTTTTTCCTTCTGTTTTGTATTGTGTCTTCTTTCTTGGAGTTCTTCCTATTGGTTCTAATTCTTACTTACAACATGACTAATGTGAAAATATGTTTAATAGGAATGTATATGTAGAGCCTATATCAGATTGTATGCCATCTTGGGGAGGGAGGTGGGGATGGATGGGGAGAAAATTTAAAACTCAAAAGCTTATGGAAGTGATTGTTGAAAACTAAAAATAAATTAATTAAAAAATAAAGTACAAAAAATCACTATGAAAAGTATAAAATACTTCTATATGAATTCAACTATAAAACACTCTTTGCAGAAATAAAGACCTAAATAATTGGAGAAACATTAATTGCTCATGGGTAGATCAATCTATCTAATAAAATAATAACAATGACAACACTATATAAATTAATTTACTTATTCACTGTTGTATCAAACTCCTAAAATAATATAGATGTAAAAAAAATAACCAAATTCATATGAAGGAACAAAAAGTCAAAAATTTCAAGAGTAATAATGAAAAGAGTGGGAAGGAATAGGGTCTATTAGTTCAAATCTGGACTCAGACACTTAGTAGCTATATGTTTCTGGACAAGTCACTTAACCTCTGTTTGCTCATCTGTAAAATGGGAATAATAATAGCACCAGCCTCGCAGGGTTGTTGTGAGAATGAACCAAATGAGATTAAAATTCTGAAGTGCTTAGCATAGTGCCTGACACATAGTAAGCACTTTATAAATGTTAGCTATTATTACTATTATTAGATCTCACACTGAAGTATAAAAGAGTAATACTTAAAATGATTTGGTACTACTTTAAAAAAAGTGAGGTCAATCAGTAGAAGCAAACAAACACTGTACAGGAGGTTTAGTTTAGACCAATACCTCATACCATACACAAAAGATAAGCTCATACTTTTAACAAACAGAAAGAATTCAAATATTGAGGAGCTAAACGCAAAAGATAGAGGCTTGCAAATGCAAACTAACTTACCTAGCAAAATGGAATATAATCCTACAGGTTGAAAAAATGAAACTCTAGTGAAATAGGCTACTTCTAAGTATTCCTGATGATCAGAGCTGAGTAGGAACTTTACAGGAGTCAAGAAATACTTAATAAAATACAATCAATTGAAAGGGACTAAACAGGGCAAAGTGTTTACATCCTGGTTGATGATACAAGTATCTCCCACAGAACCTTAATTTCATTAGGGGTCATAGAAGGAGTCAAATAAGAGGGCGTGGGAATAGTTTTGTTATATTTGATGATCTTAAAAGAACAAAGAAAAAGGAAGGTAAATACAAAGGGGAGGAAAGATCGGGGAATTTATCTTATATAATTGGGCTGTACAAGAAACTATACAATAAAGGAGGTAGGGGGTAGGGGAGATTGGCAACACCTGAATCTCATTTTCATCTGAACTTGTTAAATAAAGGCAAGAAGAATACATACCCTCAGTGGGGTACAGAAATATATTTTATTCAACAGGGAAATAGAAGGAAAAGAGAATGGGATAGAGAATAAGAGGGAGATCAGATTCCGGGAAAGATTGGTCCTAAGCAAAAATACCTCTAACCTCAGGATGTATCTCAAGGAGGGGTTGGAAAGGAAAGAAGGGGTCAACCATCCTGGCCACCACCAATACCACCTTCAGATCAACTGCCACCAGTGGGTTCCTGGAATAGCAGTGTTCACCTGACCACTATCCCTGCATAGAGCCCAGCCTCTATAGCCTTCATCCAAGGAAGTAATTCCTACGGAGATACAACCTGGCCATTGTTTCTGCAGGTGCTATAGTTGTCTCCTAAGGAAGCCATAGTTACTGATGACCCAGAAAAGAAAGTTCTTTTTGATCAAAGTCCATGGCACTATTAAATGGTTCAATCTTAGAACCATGGTTTCTTTAATAGAAATATACCACTGTACCCTAAGGACTACAGAGACTTTCTATTTAACTTGTGCTGAAACCTCCTTCTCGGGGTGTAGTACCCCCATTGGAATGTGAGCTTCTTGAGAACAGAGACCATCCTGCTTACTTGTATTTGCATTGGCAACACGTAACATAATAGTACACGGTGAATCCTTAATAAATGCTTTTGCACTCCTTCCTTCCTTCCTTCATTCAAAACAACAAACAAGCCAGAGTTTCATATAACTTTAATGCTACAACTTGTGGATGCTACCTTTCAACACAGTCTGACAGTCTGGAAGTCAAGTTGGATGCTGGTGCATCATGTCCTCCAATAGCATACAATAATCCATTCCAGGTAGTTACTCCAACTCCACCTCTTCTTTTTGACATTTGTGCACAAAGTGTCCATTTATTGGTATGCGGATCAAAGCATTCTACAGATTTGAGACAAGAACTTCCGTCACGACCGCCAACTGCATATAATCTGTAAAGAGAGCAAATGAAGTAGCAAATAAGAAAAGATATGTCCCGCCATACTTAAAATAAAGAGGTTCTGAAAATGACAGTAAAATCAAGCTAAAGAGTAAATGAAAGGTTAAATATCTTAGGAGCATGGAACAATTAAAACTGAAATGATAGCAGAACTAAGTTTCAACTGTTGTAAAGTAGATTCTCTACTCTCAGACCCAAAAAGGCCAATAGAGTACATGGTTACAAAAACTGTATCTGTGAAGACCCTCATATTTTCTGAGGAAAATGGCTAGTCTTCATCTCTTTTTGGATCATCTGAGGATATGAGAGTCTAAAGCCTGCTATATACAATAGGAGTAACTGGGGGAAAAAAGCAAAGAGAAAGAAAAGCCTTAAAATGAATTTTTTTTTTTGAAAAAAAAAAAAAAAAAGAACAATGAAATAATGCTAATTCTAAACAAAGTCATCAGGTACTGTGGAATGAGACAGGCCTAATCTCTCAAGAGAGTAAAGCAATGGCAATCTGACAAATTTTGTTGAATGTCAAAGGGAGTTTCCACATAACCAATAAGTTGATTTATAATTCCACAATCCCAAGTCATAGGAAACAAAACACTCCCCCCAAAACCAATTCCCACCTTCAGAGATTTCTGTTGTTTTCCCCAAAATGGACTGTGGGAGATGGAAGATGAGGGGCCAGCAGGTTATAGTATATGTTTCCAAGGTAATAAGGGAGAGATGTTCAGTGGCACTGCAGCCCGTGTTGTTGAGCTATGTTTTACTATTTTTTATTTTAATATTCTTCTCAATTACCTTATTCATTCATATTGATTTTCCTGGGATGCTGGGAGCCCAATGTTTGGGGGAATGTTTTCTTGGGGTATCTGAAAAGGAAATGATCTAAGGTAACTTAGTTAAATGAATTAGTGGGATCTGGGGAATAGAGATGCCAGTTGAGGTTTCCTTTTGAGATTTAAATGAACATTCTTTCGTTCTCTGTGCAAATGAATGAACCACCATTAACTTCCAATAAATCATTGTTCAACTCAGGAGCCTGCAGGGCTTAAAGGGACAGATTGGGGGAAGAGATGCTTCTATATATGCAAAGGAATAGGGAGACCCAAGAGCCCAAATCCTAGAAGTAAAAAAGTAAAAAAAAAAAAAAAAAAAAAAAAAAAAAAGGAAGTAGAGTTGACTCTAGGAACAAGGTAGTTAGTGAAAAAAAAAATGAGTCAGAGAAAATACAAGGGATCCAAAGACTGGGCCTAGCTCCATTTATATCTTTCATTTAACACAGAGGTGACCTTTAAAAGTTTTTAAAATAAGTTTTAATGATGTTTTTTTGTTTTTATATTATTGTTATTTGTGGATGTTCATGTATACACCCTCTTTCCAACTTCTGTCCCACCTTCTGTCCCACCTGAGCCAAGCTTTACCTTTACAAGGTAGAACAATTAAGAAAAAACTGATGAAGTGACTTTGTCTAAAAATAGATGTAATATAAATTATGTGTTAGCAGCCCCTCACCTCTCTGCCAATGGGAGGAGTTACAATATTTCATTATCTGCTTTCTGAGGCCACACTGTACTCGAGTTTTCTATTACTTTTAAAATTTATATTGTAATAGTAATCATGTATTTTGTTTGATTCTGCTAATTTCATTCTGCATCTTGTAGCTTTCCCCTTTTGTTATTTTAAATCTCCAGTATGGTTCCCTTTAGTTGGTTACTAGGAGTGAAAAGCTCTTAGAAAACATTAAGATGGGTTATGTGTTTATTTCTGAGCCAGAAAGGTTAAAGAACAACTGGAAACCCACATCTTTGTACACAAGGAATTCTAGGCAAGAGAAGTTAAATTGAGAAAAAGGGTAGTGGCAATAACACCAAGAGTGTAAGTAGGCAAGGTTTAACACTGGCTGGATGCCCTATGTGATATTACATGTCCTCAGACTGTTACTCTGCAGGTGACAACTTATATTTAAGATCTGCAACATGTTTTCCTCACAATAATTCCTAGACAGATTGCACAAGAATTATTATTCCCACTTTACAGGTGAATAAATGGGCTCAGAGACCTTAAGGGATTTGTCCAAGGTCACAAAGCTCAAAAGTATTAGAGCCAGGATAGGAACCTGGGTCTCCTGACTTTCAGATCTAGTATTCTTTGTCTATATCCTATTTCTGCTTAAGATAAACTTACCACATAAGTTATGATTTCTACTTCTAACCCCACTGCTTGCTTTTTTTTGCCTGCTTTTATACCCCAAAAGTGAAGAGAAAAAAAAAACACAACCCAATAAAATGAAAATCTAACATGATTTGAGTCTTTCTCAAATTCCCTTTTATCCATTATTTCCAGACTCATCTCTTCCTCACAGAGAGACAAGGTCCCCTTCTTGTACCTTCACTCCCTTTGTGAAGTAACAATTCTAGAAAACAATGTTACTCTTTATTCAAAAAAGCATTGGAGGGGCAGCTAGGTGGCGCAGTGAATAGAGCACTGCCCAGGAGTCAGGAGGACCTGAGTTCAAATTCGGACTCAGACATAGAACATTCACTAGCTGTGTGACCCTGGGCAAGTCACTTAACCCCATCGCCTAGTTAAAAAAACCAAAACAAAACAAAAAAGCATTGGAAGGAATATCTATTGCCCTGCATCTTAGTTCCTGTCCCAATTTCTGTATATCACATAGAGCTGGCGTGAATCATGACCAGGTTTCTTCTAGGTTCATTAGTTCTAACTAAAACATTTTAACCCATCATCTGCCTAGGTCTGCTAATAACATCTAAACATTAGCTGCCAGCCAGCTGTGTAAACTATGTGCAGCCAAGTTCTATCACCTGCTGCTGGAATCCTGGTTTTCTGGAAAACAAACTTTCCATACTATGAGGAAAGAAGGGTTCCCAGCTTGGAAAACTGTAACCTAACAAAATGGCTTGCATGGTATTACATTTTTTTTCTTGGGGCACAGCTAATTTATGCTCCCTTTCAAGTATGTAGCCAAACCTACACCCAGTAAAAGTGGATTCCTTATTAATATTTTTGTAATTATTATTTCTATTTGCATTGTTCTTTATTTTGTGAAAGTTAATCCAAATTTGGGGAGTAAATATTTCTTCTTATTTAGATAAAAATTAATAGCTTTGACTAGAAAGAAAAAATCATTGTACCCCATTATTATATATGTGCGGGTATACATACATACATACATACTTCTGGGTGTGTGTGTGTGTGTGTGTGTGTGTGTGTGTGTGTGTGTGAAATAGCTCTGGGAACATGGTTCCGGAATTACTGGTGAACCAAGAAAGTCTCCAAGATAGAATGCAGGCTGATTTATTATACTAATAGTATTTAGACCATTATAAAGTCTATATATTGATTCCTGACATAATCTACTTATAAGACTTAATTTTAAAGCATTTGTTTATTTTTCCTCCAAAGCAGCCCCACTATTTCCTGCTAATTCTGGTGAGGTTTTTAATATATAGGACAAAAGGGAATGGGTGAGATAGGTGATTTTCAGTGTCATCTTTTCATCCAGAGTGATCATTTGAATGAGAGAACAGTTTCAGGACTAGTGCTTTAGAGAAATGTAATGTCATTTTTATGACTTCAGCATTTTTTCAGTTATATTATGACACTCAGATTCTGAAGCACTCTTTCAAATTAATGGGACATGAAGAGAAGTTAGCATGATTCTCTTGGAACCAAGTGTAATTTAACTGTGTGCAACATTTTTTACATAAATATCAAAACACAAAATACTTATCAAGCTTGTAAATTCCCCAAGTTGTACTCATATCTTTTAGGAATTTCTACAATTAATTTTGAAAAGTTTTTGTGGATATGTTGTCCTTTAAAAAAAAAAGAATATAATTTAATGAATAGAACTGCTTTCTGCAACACAAATGAGAGTTCTCGTATATCATGAAGTCAATGCTGACTTACTCCATATGTTATTAATCTGAAATAAAATTTATAAACACAATGAGAAAATGGAGGAATTTCCATTCCTTAGTGCTGCTCCCTCAGCATAGCTGGGTAGCATTCTCTCTGGGCGAAGATAAAATTGACTAGCCTTGTCCCTAGTAGTAGCTGATAAAAGTATCTGACAAAAAGGTAGTTAAAGTATTATACACTTCAGTTTAATGACAGGAAAAAGAAAAGAAAAGGAAAGAATATGAAAATTGTTACCCTAGTTAGAGAAAGAATAGGGACAGAATAGGTGAATAAAACTTCACTTGAAAAGGGAAATATCAAGCCATTTGTTAAAAAGAATAAAGCAAGTGTATAGCTTACAGTAGTATTGGTTTGTTAAAGTAGGATGAGTAAAAAGAATAGCGCTGCATCTTAATAATTGCTAAGTATATAATAAATTGGTTAAGGGGGAAGTTTTGGGTAAATTAGCACAAGACTGAATTATAATAAAATATTTGTAAAGAAATGCAATTAAAGCAACATTCTAGCTTTGATTTTATAAACAGATCAAATTATTAGTAATTGGCATACTAAATATTAGCAGAAGTAAGGCCAGCTTCTTATATTAAAATTAAATTACATTGTTTGAATAAAAATTGGAGCCTTCATAGTACTTGAACATTTTTTCTTTTAATTAAGAAATGCTGCCTTTCTAATCTTATTTACTATTTACTAACAAAGCCTAAAGAAAGATAATTTTTTTCAAAAGTAAACCAGTTCAGTTTACTGTAGCCAAATCATCTAAAATCTGGAATATAGACATCTTATAAGATTCAATTCAATTAAGCAAACATTTATTAAACACCATTAGAATGTTGAATTTTTTTCCCTTTCTTTATATCTCCAGGGTTTAGCACAGTGCCTGGAAGATACTAAGCACTTAATAAATAAATGCTTCTTACCTGACTGATTTGTCACTATATGCTAGAATTGTGCTAGGTGCTACTGAGACAAAAACAAAAATGGTTCCTGCCCTCAAGGATCTTATAAGTGTTTCTGTGGAACGCTGACCATATGGTAGAGAACTCACAGATA